CCTCACGTGAGTCCAGTTCCAGGGACTCTGAAGCTGTCTTCTGGCCTCTACATCCATTTGGACACCCACATACTGCACATACATACATGCAAGCATACACACACATGAAATTTAAGTAAAAACCAGAAAACTAGAACATCTTTGACTGTTCTTGCCAAATGATCCTGATTAGAGCTACAGCTCGGACTGACACTCTGTCCGTGTCATCCTGGGTCAATTAATGGTCATGTCCAAGCCTTGGATTTACATACAGGGCAAAATAAGATTGTGTGTGTGTGAGAGAGAGAGACAGAGAGAGATCCCACACTACAGTCTAGCCCAAAACTTCATCCTGTTATTACCCATCTCAGAGTACTACCCTCTCCCCCACAGATTACTATCAGGCATTTCTATCTCATCTTCTTATCTCGGATCTCGCCCCCATTCCAATCTGTCCTCCCCACTCTGCCAGACTGACAGTTTCTCACACAGGCCCAACCATGCTGTGTGATTCCCACACTGGAAGACTTTACTCATTAGCAGGTGCCTTCCCCCTCTGCTATCCCAAGTCACTCCCGGCTCTTGAGACACTGCTGCTCTGTCCAGCTCTGCACCTATACATTGTCCCTGCTGCCCACGGCACCATTGCTCCAACTCCGGCTGCCCGAGAAAAGCACACCCTTAAGACTTGGTGGGAAAACCCTTTAAAAGGCAGAATAATAATAGTAATAATAATAACAAAGATTGGCTAAACAGACTCATGGGCAACCCTGACCACAGAGATCATAAAAGAGAGGGAAACAGAATAAATTCAGTAGTTCTGCATGTGCCCCGCCCCTTCCCCATTGCTGGAACCCAGGGCTTCCAGCATGCTAGGTAAGTGCTCTGCCACTGAGCTACACTCACAGTTTTAGAGTAAATATACATTCGTGTGTCTGAGTGTGTGTATCTCTCTCACTGTGTATGTACCTGTTGGGGTGTATGTATGTATGTGTGCATTCATATGAACATAGATGCAGATACCTAGGGAGGCCAGCCTCTCTTGGAGCTAGAGTTACAGGCAGTTGTAAGTTGCAGGTGTGGGTGCTGGGAACTGAATCCAGGCCTCTGCAAGAGCAGTACGTGCTCTTGCACCCCAACCCCGGAACAGTTTTAAATTGAAAAACTAACAAATAAGACTAAATTTAGGAAAGCTTGACCCTGAAATTGGAGAGGACTTCCCAAAAGCAAAACAGAAAACCACCAAGAAAAATGACATACGTCTAACCTCACAGAGGTTAAATATTCATATACAACCGTGCGCACAACAAAGAGAGGACAGAAAGAGAAGACATTTGGTTTGTTCCAGCGGGTGGATTAAAGTCCAGAAACTGGGGAGAGCTTCTTTCATTTATGAGATCACAATCTGTGTATGGGGGTGGGGACATGGGAACTGAGAGAAAACTGGAGAAAATGCAAGTTGATTTCTTAAATGTTAAGAGTTAATGTAGAAGAATCAATTAGCATTTAAGATGCACACAACCAATGTTGTTCTCTACGATTCAGGATAAACTTCAAATGTCATATGCAGAAGCGGGTATAAATTGTGCTACAGCGCTCGTTTTGAAAGGGGAAAATAAAAAGAAGAAACGTTACATATTGTTCTACCTGTGGGTGCAGGGATTATTTCCGAGGGTGTAGACAAAAACTGGCAAAATTGGCTATATGTCAAAAAGGAAACACAGGGCTGGAGAACGGGAGTGGGGTGGAGTTGTTTCTTTATATAACTTCTGTAATTTGGAATATTGTGGTTTTTTTTTTTTTTAACTCCATGACCTAACCCTAAACATGTAATCTTACGTAAGTAAGTTAATTAGATATCCTTTTCAACAGTCTTTCAGACCTCAGGAGACAAAAGAGAACTCTTTAAATAACTCCTTAAACTGGGTGGGGTGGTGCAGGCCTTTAATATGGGCATTTAGAAGGCAGAGGCGGGTGGATCTCTGTGAGTTGGAGGCCAACCTGGTCCATGTGACAGCCAGGGCTACATAGTGAGACCTTGTCTGGAAAAGATAAACAAACAAATAAATAAGGCTGCTTAAAATATGCACGTTCTATGACACACAAATTCTACTTGAAGAAATAATTCTTATCAAGGAATCTTCCAAACATGTCCTAAAGATAGACAGCTATGTTATGTGGGAGCGAGCTAAAAGCCCATCAGTGGGAAAATTCTTAAATAAATGATAGTAGGTACACTATGAAGTACTATGTAGCCATTTAAAGGCATGAAGCTGCAGGGTGTGGTGATGCAAGTTTTTAGTTGCTGCACTTGGAGACAGAGCAGGTGGATCTCTGCAAGTTCAAGGCTAGCCAAGAGATCCTGTCCCAAAAGAAAGAAAAGAAAAGAATTATACCTATCACTGAGATTGGATGACTTTTATGTCATATTCTTACGTCAAAACAGTAAGTTATGGAAATTAGATATGCCTCCATTTATGTGTTAATATTTTTCAAAAGTATATACAACATATTTGGGTTGCCTCTAAAGTTAGAAATGTAGACACTATTATTTTATGATGTCTTATGCTGTGATATAAGTAAATTATATATTGCTTATCACCTCTATCTCCAGGCATGGTAAAAACATGAGCACTGAAAAATGCCTAGATGGAGGGGCCACAGGGACAATTCCCTCAGCAGAGTTCTTGCCTTGAAACAGCAGGACCTGAGTTCAGATCCCCAGCACGCAGAAAAGCCTCCTTCCCACACCTCTAGCTCCGATGCTGGGAGTTAGTGGGCCGAAGGTTCCCTGGAGCCTAGAGGACTAGGACACTCCAGGTTCCAGAGAGATCCTGTCTCAGAAAAACTGGGTAAGGAAGACATTTTCTTCAGTACATAAATTGGCCATGGTAAGTTGCAGTAAATAACACCCCCCAACACACACACACACACACACACACACACACACACACACACACACACGTAGCCCTGATCAAATGTCTAAAAAGGACATGAAAGTAGAGAGGGCTAGAGAGTGGGAAAAGAGGAAGTGAATGGGAGCATGGTTCAAACCATTATATACATTGTCAAAATGTAAATTGTAAAGTGGAGAGCAGGGAAGGAAGGTTATCAGCCTCTGGTTTCCATGAGCACATATGTACACACACACACACACACACACACACACACACACACAGAATAAGGACCTCGAAGGGAATACATTTATTGTGGTTACCTCAGAGGTGAAGAAGCAGAGTCAAGGAGATGTGAAAAGGACTTTTTTTTTTTTTTTTACATATTCCTATATTAAAAATCTTTCCTAATAACCCTTGTCTTTGAAAACTTACTATATACCAGATAAGTGCTATCATTATGTACCCTGGAGCTTACACTATACAGGGCAGGGCCATGCAGTACCTAGGGCTAGGTGCTTCAGATTGCTCCCAGTCATCCAGGACTCCAGTAGAAAGCAAACACAAACCAAAACAAAGATGCAACTGTACGGCACGAAGATTCATACTTAACAGACTGAAAACCCCTTCCTTCAAACTCCCAGCTTTCCTTGAACGTATCTGCCAGGACTGCTTCTCTCCCTGCTGCCAGGCACAGAGAGGGGCCCCAGAAGCAGATGGGAAAGTAATGGAAAGTATTCTCTCTTGCGACAGGATAGGGATCACTGGTAAGTTGAATGAATGAAACACTGAGTCACAAAGCCAATCCTTCCTCTAAATGGCAAAGCTCACTGACACTAACCTTCACCTCGTTACAATTTTGGGTGTTTCAAATTCTCCCCTGGAGTCCTGCTTTACAACATTTCCGATGGTCTCAAAAGGTCTAACCTAGACTGTACACTGGCAGTGGGCGGACAGCAGGTCAACTGGACACATTATTCGGTCTTCTGCACATTTAACAAAAATGAGTTTTGAATTAAAAGACTTTTAAAAAAAATGGATTTCTTTTCCCACAAAAATTTTACAGCTCCCCCAAAGCCCACGTTGGACAGCAGTGTTGAGGCCTTGTGACAGTGTCCACAGCTGGCTGTCTCACCGTGGGATGTCACTGGACGCAGAACCCTACCCAGCCCACCTGCCTGACTTCTTCACCAACGAGTGTGCACCATAGGGCTCTACGTGGATCTGCTGACACTTATGAAAGACAAAGTTTTGACCCCAAACAGAACACACACACCCTCTGACCACACCATATTCTGTGGTCAGAGGACTCCCAGCACACAGGGCTACAACACAGATTTGAGGACCCAAGGTCTTGAAGTTAGTTCCAAAATACCAAGCAGGTTTCTTTCTGAGGTCTCTATGCTCACTGCCACCTCATTGGGGCTGTAGGACAAAAAGTCCTTAGTCAAAGGGCCCCCACGTGCAAAGCATTGCTAAGTAAAAAAAAAAAAAAAAAAAAAAAAAAAAAAAAAAAAAAAAAGACCGTTGTTCAGCCAGGAGGCAGAGCCAGCCAGATCTTGGCCAGTTCAACATCTCCCATCCCTGCTCCGTCCACATAGGACAGCCAGGTCTGCGTAGAGACCCTGTCTCAAACAAAAACAAATAAGCAAGCAAACAAACAAACAAAAAATAGGGCAGCCTGTTTTACTTTCCTGAATTTCAGTTGCCTTGCCCATCAAAGGAGACAACCATTGCAGTCCACAGGGCTGTCGTGTGAATGGATTTAAAAGGTGAGTGTGAAAGCAGCTGTCAGCACCTTAGAAGTATGGAGCAAGGTGGGTGTAGGTTAGGGCGGGAAGAGGGGCTCTGGAAGACGCCCTGTGGAGAACCTGGACACTTAAGCTGATACCCGGCCCCCTCCCCATTCTTCCTGGATGGGCAGGGAAGAGCCTATTTTCACCTGCTTTCAAGGTGGCTGAAGTAAAACGCATTTTATAAGCAAACATCATTGGTTTGGTAAAGCCACGGCTCCAAGAGGCCAGGCTGCAACCCGGGGCTGGCTCTACCCGGAGGAGACGGATTCCGAGACTACACCACCCAAGACAGTCTGATCTTTCAATGTCCCCCACAGGGCAAGTCACCGAACCCGGGTCCTTTCTCCCTACCTAGCAGGGAGGAGAACTAAATGGCCGCTCTTGTGAACACTTTGCAAAAGGGATGAGAGGTACGGTAATGAGAAGGCAGTCTCGGAGTTGTGCTACCGGGAGATGCCAACGCCCGGCTGCAATCCCTGGGAAGCCGGACGGGCCATCCCACCAGACGTCCTCAAGCCACATGCCTTTGTCCACATGATGCACCAGGGCTTAAGCTCCTTGGCCCAGCTGGTAAAGTGCTCACCCCCCAACCCCTTAAACCAACCAAACCTACCTCTCACGGATCTGAGGGGCAGGGTCACCCACCCCGGGGCGCCGGGAGACTTCTGGGTGCGCCCCCCACCCCGGCTTGGCACAGATCACACCGAATCCTGACTAGGAGGGTGTTACTCACCTGGTCCTCACGGCTTCCTGCCGAGGGTCTCGGCCGCTGCGCCCCCCCCCCCCCATTCCTAAGCCGGTCGCAGGGGGCGCGGCCCTCCTCGGCTGAGTCCCGGGCACCGAGCTGATGCTCTCTCCCTTTCCAGGGGATGAGCGGGGAGGATCCGGGCGAATGGAGCGGGCTGCACCCGGCAGAACCAGGTAGGCTTTCTGAAAGGCCCCTGGTGGTTTGGAGGGGCGCGCCCCCGAGGCTCTTCCCACAAAGAGCCCCAAAGCCAGACGCGAAAGCGCCAGCTCTTCCCTCCCGTCCCCCCAAAAGCAAGGCGCGGTACAGCCAGGAACGAGCCTTGGGACTTGGGAGAGGGGCGCCTGGAGGAGCCGCACGCCGAAGGGGCAAAGGGATTCGGGGGGGGGGGGGATGGGGAGGGGGCTGCAGAGCCAGCCGGGCCCGCGTCCGGCACGACGCTTTCAGCGCCGCGGCATCCCGGGGCAGCCCGTCCCGCCCCGGCCTGCGGGCCCCCCCCCCAGCCCGGTGCTCACCGAAGCGCCGCGGCTGCTCAGGGCCGGGCCGCCTCCCCGCCGCTTCCTCCCTGCGCGCCGCGCCCGGGCCGCGAGGTTTCGGGTTTCAGCCCGCCGAGCCCCGCTTCGCTCCTCCCGCCGGCGGCACGCGGCCCCGCGGCCCGGAGCGAGGCCGAGGAACTTGGCGGCGCTCGCTCGCGCTCCGCCCCCCGCGGCTCGCCCGCCTCCGTCGCCGCCCGGGCCGGTGCCCCGCGCCCCGAGCCCCGGTGCCCCGCGCCCCGCC